GAGGGGCCCTGTCAGGGGCACCTGTGAGGCCAGGACAATGCAGGAGGGAAGTCACCAGGGGCTGGGGCTGCAGGATGCTGTCCCCTGAGCGTAGGCCAAAGCCAGGCCCTCACTGCGGCCGGAAGCAGGGCAGACCCCGTGTCCACCTCCCATCCCTTGCTGTACCCTTCCTGGTGTCCGGAGAGCTCCTGGTGTACCTCGGAGGCACACCTGGAGGGTTTCCATCCACCCAGGCTCGAAGAGCCCTAACCCGCATCTGCTGTGAACACACGTGCATATTCCGTGTAGACACGCAGAACCCAGGGCAAGCCCTGCCCTGCTGGAGCCCACACTCCTCACGTTTCTGGGACTTTCTCCCCGGGGAGCCCTGTCCTGTTCCGGTGGTGTCACAGCACCGGTGCGCAGTAGGGCCAACTCGGCACAGGTTGCAGAAACGACTTTGTTTCTGTCCTTAGAGGTTTCAGCCCAGGGCAGGGCTCAGGGTACAGCTCTGCAGGACAGCCCTTGCCCATTAAGCTAGAACCCCTAGTTTGATCCCCAGGACCACACACACGAGCTATTGCCCCAGCCTCAGTTTCCCCATCTGTAAAGGACGTGGCTCCCCGATGTCACATGGCCAGCTTTACTCTCGAGACGCAGCTCCTGCCTTGCATTGAAGTCTCATCGGCTTCTTCTCCCCTAGTGACCACAAACTGTAGTGGCAGCGGAGGGGTGGGAAATTTGTCCTTCCCTTCCTGGGAGTCCTGGCTGGCCATCTTCTTCCCCGTGGGGCCCCCCAGGCCACCGCCACTGCCCAGCTGCGTGGTTAGTGGGTTTTTCTTGAGGCCACGGTGTCCTCTTTGGTCTTTTGGGAAGCCGATTGCAGCAATCACTGTAAGGTCACTGTGGGATTCACAGTTTCCATCGACTTTTATTTGTCTTTCCAGCTGTGTTTGCTTTTGTTTTTGGACTTAGTCCCTGGCTCTCTGAGCACAAAGCTTGCTGGTGGAGCACTCCCGCTCAGAGTCCTTCCAGAGGGCACCACCGCTTCCAAGTTCCCTGTTTGTCTGCCACTGAGCTCTGCTTTTCCAGATGGTGCATCCCTCCTCTGGCCCAAGCCCCTCCCTACCCAGGCTGCCTGCCTCCACCCACGCCCTCTGAATCAGCCCACCTGGCTCCTGGGCTGAAGCTATTTCCTTCGTCACTTTTTTATAGGCCTCAAATACAAACAGGCAAATAAAACATGCCCAGCGAGCTGTCCTGCCTGGCTGTCCCCAGTAACGACGAAGGCCTCCGTGTCCCCCAGTCCTGCTTTTAGGCTCCTTGATGAGGATCCCATCCACCCAATCAGAGCTCATCAGTGGGTGCCCCTGGGGTACCACCCCCTCCTGAGGCTGGACAGTGCCACAGGCTTCACTCTCCCCAGAGTCCAGGTGGCGGAGTCTGGACACATAGGGACCCTTCACTGAAGACCTCAAAGTGAGGTGGGCACACTCAGTCCCTTTCCAGGTGCCTCCCTCCCAGGCAGTGCCATCCTTGTGTCTGTCTGTCTGTCTGTCCATCCATCTGATATGGCAGCAGCTCTGTGCCCTGGGCCACACAGTCACAGGGATCAGGGGGCAAGGGATGCTTTCTGCCACCTGAATCCCTGAGTCCCACCAGGATTGGCCTTTTCTCTCACGGGGCAACGATGGTCCATTGTCCTGAGACCCACTCTTGGATGCTCCCCATGTGGAGCAGAACCCAGACTTCAGACCTAAGGGTCCTCTTCCTTCTCAGTTCTGTGCCTCGCCCACAGGCCACCCTTGGCACTTTTCCTGAGCTCGAGAGTGGTTCCAGCTGAGGACTGTAGGAGCACATGGCCGTGTACAGTGGCACATGACGATACCAGGTCACGTCAGCCAGTTTGGGAATTCACAGGCTCAGACCAACCCAGGCCAAGCCTGGCCAGGGGACCCTCACTCCGGGATGGTGCTTCCCTCTGCATCCTAGGTGCGGGCAGCCTGAGCCCTGGCACTGCCTTGGCATCCTTCCCTCCCAGCCCCACTTCACCACCTTTGCCAGCTCCGCCCAGCCTGCCCTGCCACGTGGACCCTGAGCTTGCCCCGATGGACAGGTCCAGTCAGGCGGCGCTGACCTAGGTGCTCAGAAGGGTGGGTGCCTGTCCACCTGACTGCCCGAGGAGCAGTGTCCAGGAAAGGTGCCTGCCCCGGCTTCTGCTCTCATCCTTTCAGACTGTCCCGTGGCAGTGGGACTCCTGCAGCCTGGGGCAGCTGGAGTGTCTACCCATCTCATTCTGCTTTCTCTGTCACTAGCGCAGGTCGGTTTTGTTCTGTTGACCTCAGCCTTTTACAGTTATTTCTGTAAAATTAAGTCAGCCTGGGTCACACTGGCAAGGGGAGAACGTGCATTTTGGTTTTGTTGTTTTGATATTTCACATAGGATCTTGCTATCTCGTCCAGGCTGACCTTGAACTCACTACGGAACCCAAGCTGGCCTCAAATTCCTGACAATTCCCCTGCCTCAGCCTCCCCAGTGCTGGAGTTACAAATGTGCGACACCAGACCCAGCTTCCAGGACATTTCTCCCAAGCAGTGGACTGTGACCAGCAGTGCCTGGAAGGCTCCTCCTCGAGGGTGTGGGAACGGGTGGCATTCCTGGCAGCTGGGTGCATCTAGCTGGGTCCTCCCTCCCCCATCCAGGAGTATTCCAGTTCCTGATGTCACACGGTCAGGCCGACCCCATCAGGCAGGAAGCCAGGGGATAAGCAGGCAGGACTGCCCAGCACAGGACAGTGGGGCTCCAGGAAGGCTTGGTGGGGGGAACCGGGGGTCAGCTGGCGTGTGTGTGCCCAGACAAGACTTCAGGGTCCCAGCGATCCCTGTAGAAGAGTCTAGACACTGAGGAGGTGGGTGCTTGACAGGACAGCGGGGCAGGATGTCTAACCTGGCATGCCTGGGGCACCAGGCCACTGGGGAGCAGTCCCAGCCTGCAGACTGGGCACATGGCAGGGGTAGGGGCAGCGGCAGGGCACAACCTGACTTACATGCTGTTGGTCTCCCTGTTGTGTTCTGGCCGGGACAGAGGCAGTGAAGGCGCCCCTTTGTGGCAGGGCCACAAGGCATGAAGTGGGAAAAGGCGAGGATCTTTCAGGCAGATATCCTGCAGTCTGTCCCAGAGACCTTCCTGGCTCAGCCTCTGAGTGTTGGGATTACAGGCATGCACCACTATACTGGGCTCATCTGGGCTTTGCCAAGGCTCCTCTTGGCCCCTCTGCCAGTCACTCTCACATTCACCTGACAAGCCCGAGGGACCCTGCAAACAGCAGGTCTGCTGCCCTTGATGCTGGAAGATGCCACCTCCCATGGCCCCCGCATGTGGCCACCCTCTGTGCACATGTCCTGGAATCTGTGAGTCCAGAGCTTTTGTGTGTGGGAGGGACACAGTTCAGCCCCGATCCTTGACAGGGGCCACTTAGTTCCCCACTAGTGTTCTGTGACTGACACGGCTGCCTCCATGGAGAGCCGAGGCAGGCAGAGTCCATTCGGGGCCCTTTAACCTGGCCAGGGATTTTATGGCCAAAGTGAGGCATCTGTACTGAACAAATGAACCCAGGGACAGAGGGCCCCCGGCTGCCCCAGGGAGCCTGGCACTCCCAAGCCCTGCCCACACTGGGGTTTCCGAACAAGTTTCAGATCCACATTTCCCAAGCCTCCGTGCAGGGCCCGTGGGAGGGAGGAGAGCAGGTCGGTCCTGCACAGGGTGGGCGGGGCGGGACTCTGACTTTGCCCTGCAGAAGCTGCAGGAGGTTGGCAGCTTTGGATGGGGGCTGGGATTCCAAGGAGCAGTGATTCACAGTGGTGGTTCCTGCCCTGCCCAGGGTCATAGAGAGCAGCAGGGCAGGACCTGTGCATGTGGCCGCCTGTGCCAGGCACAGCAGTGAGACCACATGGACCCGGCCCACTCCGCCTCTGTGGCAGCAGCAGGGCTGGGCAGACAGCAGACAGCCAGGGCAGGAAGCTCTGGCCTGGTGTGCTGTGGCTCTGTCCTCGAGGCCCGTGCTCCTACGGGAGTCCCCTATGTGGCCCCAGCCACTTTCAGTACTAGGTTAGGGATCAAGGCGCCCATCCCATATTTGACTGCACACAGGAGGGTTCAGTGTGGGCAGCCTGAGTCCTCAGGGACCCGCACAGAGGGCTAGGCTGCTTTGAGGGCAGGGCAGCCTCAGCATGTCTGATCAGCACCCTCCCTGAGCACCCATGGATGTGCCCTCCCCCCCCCCCCCCGTGATAGGGAAAGCAAGCTACACACAGAGGCTATGATTCCGCCAAGTGCTGGGGCTCAGTGACGTGGGGTCCTGAGCTGTCCTGGGGGGGGGGGCGGGTCAGCTGTGGGACCCCAGTTTCACTCCAACGGCTCCGTTAAGCAGGAGGCCGCCGCCGTGTCTTCCAATTCCAAGTCTCCCAGGCTGCTGTGCCCCCGGGGGACCCGCAAGGCTCTCCCCAGCCGGCTGCGGAGAACGCCCAAGGTCAGGCACCTTTGGGTGCCCACCTCCAAGCATCGCTCCGCCCCCTACCCCGCCCAGCAGCCAGCCGCATTTCTGCACCGCCCCACTCCACGCTGGCCCAGGCCTTTGGGCAGGCGCCACTACAGGAGGGCTTGTGAGTGGCGGGCGCCAGCCGGAGAGGGCACAGAGGACAGCGGCCTTCACCTGCAGCCCCGGAGTGAAGCTGCACCCCTAGGTCTTCTCTGACCCCTCTGCCTGCCCAAGCCCTTCTGCTGCGGCCTCCCCTGAACGCCCGCTGACCCTCCCGGGTCGTCCACCTCGGCCCTCTTCAGCCCAGCTGCTAGGCGGCCAGCCCACCCCCACGGGCGCTGCGTCCCCGCCCCTCCCCGCCCTCTCCCCTCCCCCGCCCCTCCCCCGCCCGCCCCCTTCCCCGTCCCCATCCCCGGTCCCCGCCCCCGCCCCCGCCCCCTCCCTTTGTCCCCGGCCGCCCGCTGCGTGCGGGTGACGCACACGCCGCCCCGCCCGCCCCGCCGCGCCTGCCCGCCTGCCCGAGCGCGGCCGTAACGGTCCGGCCCGCGGGACCCGCGATGGGGGCGCCGGGGTCGGCGGCGCCGCTGCGCTCCGAGCTGTGGGTGAAGCAGCAGCGCTGCGCCGTGAGCCTGGAGCCCGCGCGCGCCCTGCTGCGCTGGTGGCGGTGCCCGGGGCCCGGTGCGGGTGAGTGCGCGGTCGGGGGCTGGACGGGGCGGGACGGGACGGGACGGGGCGAGGAGAAGGCTGGGGAGACGGCATGGGGTGGGGGGTGGGGACGGGGGGCCAGGAGGGGAGGGGTGCGGGGGCCAGGCTGGGGGCGCGGAGGGGGAGGGGAGGGGGAGGAGAGGGGACCGGGCCGGGGTGGGGAGGGCCGGCTCGGGCTCGGGCGGGAGCTGCTGCTGCCGGACAGGTCCCAGGGTCTCGGGGCGCTGCGCTCCAGTGACGGGGTGACGGAGTCCGGAGCAGGCGCCTGAGGGCAGGGGAGGGCAGGGGAGGGCAGGGGAGGGAAGGGGAGGGCCAGAGCCACAGCACAGCTCTGCGGACAGCAGCCCGGGGCAGGGAGCCGACCGGCCTGCCGGCGGCGCGGCTGCGCCAGATTGGTTAAGGGCGGAAGTGGGGGGCTGCCGGGAACCACCCAGTCTCCTACCCCAAGGACGCAGGCTTCGGTGTAGCGGGCATCCCGGAAGGAGCCCTGGCAGGCCTGGACTTCTGAGGTGGAGACCTGAGGAGGGGGCGCCTGCCCCGGGGGTGTGTTTGCTGCTGCGGGGACCGCGTGGGGCAACAGGTTAGCTCCGTGCCCTCCGGAGGACCTCGCAGCACAATTTAGATAAGCTGGCAAAGACTCATCCCAGTCTGGCACGGAGGCTGGGCCAGGACAAGGACACACAGGCTGCGTCCCTGGAGCCTCCTCCCCACAGAGCTGTGTGATGGCAGAGGCACAGACAGAGGTGGATAAAGGAACTGCCACCCGATCCTGCCCAGGAGGGGAGGCTGACAGAAGAGTGTGCCCGGGACTGTGCCAGGCAGAGGGAGCCAGGGCCGCAGGCCAGTGTGGGCGTGTTCAGTTCCATTCATTCCCAGTTCTGTAGTTTTGTTTTGGGAGTGGGTGGTTTGTGAGTGCTGGGGATGGAACCCAGGCCTACAAGCAGGCTAAGCCCAAGCTTTGCTACTGAGCTGCACCCCCCAGCCCTGGAAGTTTCCATGAGAACCTGTTGGGTTGGGCCAAGCGGGGTCCTAGGCCTGGTGCAGGGTGTAGGCCGAAGTCCCTGCAGCATGGAACATTCTCCGTGCTGGACCGGTGTGTCTGGTGTGTCTGAGACAGCCGGGCCCTAGGGGGAGAGCCCCTCGGGGTTGGGGGGAGCTCCAAGCAGTCCACACTCACGTTGTGGCAACTGACTGGAGCCCGGGAGAGGCCTGGAGAGACCGGGTTCTGCATGCAATCGGGGAGATCTGTGAAGGCAGGGAGAACCTCGAAACACCAGGAGCCCCACGTGTGGGAAGCAGAGTCCCTTTATGCAGCCAAATGGGCCTTGCTGGCTGTGCTGGGATTTGCCTTCCTTGTGAGGGAAATGGGAGCCCAGCATGGGGGACCCTATCTGTTTAACCTCCCAGAGGCTTTTGGAGCCCCTGCCAGGAGCACGGAGAGCTGGGGTCCTGAAGGATGCTTTTTGGGAGAAGCAAGTAATTATTAGAGGTGGAGTGAGGGGGGGCTGGGATTCCCAGGGTGGACATTCTCAGTATGCAAGGCCTTTGCTTTTATTATTTGAGGTGCGGGGGGGGGGGGGGCGTTGAATGCCTGGTTTCACAAGTGCCGTCTCATAAGCTTCACCCCAGCCCCCGGATGCACTGGAGTCCCGTGGGTACTGAGGCCTGTGGGTGCTCTGTGATGCTGGCTCGTGAGGCTCTGAGGACTGAGCTGAATGAAGGTACACAGGTCAAGCGGTAACCTCAGATCTGTGCCCAGCACCTGGTTTTTGCCTGGGGTCACCAGCACCCTCCGGCTCCCTCCCATCCGCTGGGGGAGAGTGTCTGCTCTCACCCTTGGGCCTCCCAGCACCTCGTCCCAGAGCCTGCTTCCCTGTTCCTGCCCACTCTGGTGCTCCCAATGCCTGGCCAGGCTGTTGCTTCACTCTGCTCCAGGGAAGTGTGTGGGCCCTCTGGACAGGTCTGTCCAGAGCTGCAGGACTGGCACACCTGGTGCCCCTGCCCAGCCCGGGCTGAAACTGCAGGGCCCTGGCTGGTGGGCCACCCCCAGAACCATCCAGAAGCTCTCAGCTGGGCAACACGGGGTTGGGAATACAGAGAGACAGAAGTACTGCTGTGCTGTCTCCTAACTCTGCAGTGCCAAAGGAAATCAGGCTCAAATTGGATTATTATCACGAGCTTGAGGCCAGCTCACAGGACATTTAATTCCATTAGCATCAGTGTCTCCAGCCCCTACTCCGGCTGAGTCTGGATGGAGCTGGATGGGCAGGCAGGGGCAGAGATGGGGAGGACTGTGAGGGGAGCCAGGGGCAGCCCTGGGTTGGGGGTGCTCTGCCCATGCTGGAAACTCCTAGAAAAACTAGATGCCATGAGCTGCTGGTTCTAGGGGCGCATGGTGTGCTGCAGGGTCTGGGTGTGAACCAGGTGCATATCTTTCTTGGGGTCACTGTGCACCCCAGCTGCTGAGATGGGGCCAGGTATCTGAGGTATGCAGTTTCTGGGCTGAGGAAGCAGCCAGCTGCATGCCTGGCCTGGTCCTTCGGAAGTAGGGCAGACTGAAAACAGGAAACCGGGGGTGGGGTGGGGGCAGTGGCAGGGGCGCCTCCTCGAAGTGGATCACTCACTGAACCTGACAGACTCAGATGATAGCTGGGCTCTGCCCAGGTTGCAACAAAACACAGTAAATAGGCTCTGGCTTCGTTCTTTGAGAGTTGGGCTGAGAGGATGTGGAGAGGGGTGCACACATGTGTGGGTAATGGGTGTTCAAGGGTGGTGTGGGGAGCAGGGCGTGGTAGGGAACACCTAGAATTCCAGCACTCAGAAGGCTGAGGCAGGAGGACCACTGTGAGTTCCAGGCCAGCCTGGGCTACACAGTGAGACCATCTCCAAAAAAAAAAAAAATTTATGAAGCCGCTGCCCAGGCTTCTCCTTTGTAGGAGGAGTCTCTGCTATCTTTCACCAACCCTGCCTGGGTGCCCCAGGCTCCTGGGCAGATGGCAGCTATCTTTGTAAAGTTTGTGCCCAGCACCCCAAGTGTTTATTGAAGTGAAAACATGCCCTGGATATTGGTGTTTTGAGACACAGTTTCACTATGTAGTTCACATGCATTTTGAACTGACTATGGAGCCCAGGCTCTCAGCGACCCTCCTGCTTCAGCCTCCTGAGTGCTGGGGTTACAGGCATGCACCACCACAACCAGCAAATTGTACTGTTTCTTTTTTGAGACAAGTTCTCACTATGTAGTCGGGACTGGCCTTGAACTCACTATGTAGTCCAGACTGGGCATCCTCCCGCCTCAGCCTCCTGAGTGCTGGGATGATAGTCATGGGCCACTATATGTAGTTTAAGCAACAGATTTTTATTTTTTGGTTTTTTCAAACAGGTCTCGCTATGCAGTTCAGACTGACCTTGAGCTCACTTTGTAACCCAGGCTGATCTCGAACTCTTTAACAATCCTCCTGCTTCAACCTCCTAAGAGCTGGGATTACAGGTGTGCACCACCACACCTGGCCTAAACCACAGATATTGTTAAGAAAACTTTTTTTTTTTTGCTTACAAAATAATTCCTGGAGCTGAGGGTGTATGCAGCTGGGTGGCAGCTTGCTTGCCTGGCATGCATGAGGCCCTGGGCTCCATCACCTCTACCAACACCCTCCTCACCCTGCTGCAAACAAAAAAATATAAAGATCTACAAGACAGATAAAGAAATCATTCTTAGCCTTACACTTGAGATGTGATCAATATTTGATATTTATGTATCTGTAAATTGACATGGAAGAAAAGCTGGGGAAATAAATGCACCACAGAACCTTTCCCTCAGTACTGTTTATTCTTCTAAACTGTGGTTTTTAAAAGAGCAATTTTACTGAGGCCTAATTTGTGTGCAGTAAAATCTTGATATTTCAAGGGTATAGTGGGGCGGGTTTCGATGCCTGTATAGATGCTTACACCTGTGTAAGCATCACCAAGCCTGGGACGGGGAGCAGTGGCTGCACCCAAGGGCCTCCCCGCATGGTCATCCTTGCCCCAGCCATGTCCACCCGCACTTCAGCCTGGCCAGCTCTGTGCCTGGCTGCTGTGTGTCCCTTAGTGTCTGTAACTGAGACCTTTCCTGTGCCCGGAGCTCCCCTTTTGTTTGTCACTAAGTAGTGTTGCCAGTGGACCGTCCGCTGTCGATGGCCGTGGGGCTGTGTGAGTAAAGAGGCTGTCGTCCTTTAGGGACGTTGGATCTCATTTCCGTGTGTGCACATGGGAAGCAAGAAGCCGGGTCACGGGAGCGCGTGCTTGGAGATGTGTGTTGTATTAGGTGACCATTGCGTACCCCTTTGCGCTGGTCAGTAGTAAACTTCTGGAAGTCAAATCGGGTGGATTAAGGGTTTCATGAAAAGTGACTTCCCACAGGAGGCCGAGGACGGGTGTGGTCTGCAGTTTGCAGGCTTTGAGAGGGAGGTGCGCAGGACGCAGCGGAGTCCTGTCTCCCTGGCCCAGGCCTCGAGTCTCCATTCAGACTGCGGGTGGCAGCGGTGGGGCCAGTGCTCGGCTTCCCCTCTGAGGTCTGGGACAGCGGTCCATCCCGCAGCGTCTCCGCACGCATCTCCTTTAGTGTTAGCTCGCAAGATTTAGTAGGAGTCGAACATCATGGTAAAACCTGTCACTGCCCTGCCTTGACTTCAGGGTTACCTTTGTCACCCTCAAGTAGATGCACAGACATTTTCTGCAAAGCCCTCGCGGTGTCTTAGTCCTCGCGGGCCGTGCTGCTGCCGTCATAGTCGCTCAGCCCTGCTGTTGGAGTGTTCCGGCAGCTGTGGACAGTCTGTAAACAAACGGCCACGGCTGGGTGCCAGTAAAACTTCATTCACAGCAGCGGCAGAGGTTGGCCATTTCAATGCTGCCGTAAAAAAGTAACAAAGACTAAAAAAACCTTGCCCATGGGAAATGGTGCCTGCTCAGATAGGATTCCGGTCCAGCTGTGGCACGTG